CTTGAATATAGACGATGTCGCCCTGTTGCCTCGTTGTTCATCTCCTCCACCGTTATCTGCTGTCTCCAAACGATCTTTTGCAGTTTGGATGATCTTCCTGGTTACTGCATCACAGGTGTCAATTCTGCGATGTGTGTCATGGTCAGGGTTATCTATGCGCCTTAACTCATCATAAGCAATGTTCAGATTCTCTGAGGCAGCACTTATTTTGCTTATGTGTTCATGTAGCAGGTTGTTTGAGCATTGTCCACTCAAAGCTTGCTTGGCGTCTTTAGCAATAGCCTTCCACTCCTCATAGCTCACAGTGAAACGGTGAGCAAATCTTCTTATTTGCTCATTGTACAGTTCTTGGCCCTTTTCTGTTAACTTTCGGTCTCTTTGGCTTCTTCGTGGTTCTTGTGAGGAAGTGTGGTCATTAGCTCTTGTGCCTTTAGTAGCCTGTGGTTGCATGTCTATGCACTGCTGCTCTATACTTTCACCTACATTAACCTGCTTTCTCCCAGAGGTAAGACTAGGCTCTGACATTGTTACTTGGTGTACTTAAATTTGGGTTAAATCTAATTTGGCCTGTAGCTAAGTGATTCAGCTCCCATTAGCTATTCACATTTATACTATTTTTACCACTAATATTATTTTTTAGAACATATTCACTTCTACTTCACACAAATCAATATCACGTTGTTCTATGAAATGCTAAATTCAGTCTCTTGGTTGTAGCTTAGTTAACACTTAAACATACACACAACTATACCGTATGAATATGAAGGCAAAAATGTGTCAGTCTCTTGTGGGAAATAGTTTAAGCTTCTTTGCATCAGCTGGATTTTTATTTTTATTTTTTATTTATTTTGGGTCATTTAGCAGACGCTCTTATCCAGAGCGACTTACAGGAGCAATTAGGGTTAAGTGCCTTGCTCAAGGGCACATCGACAGATTTTTCACCTAGTCGGCTCGGGGATTAGAACCAGCGACCTTTCGGTTACTGGCACAACGCTCTTACCCACTAAGCTACCTGCCGCCCATGGTAAGACGCCTGGATTCTTCTGTGGATGCTGCGGCTGTGTAAATGTCAGGAGCAGATGCACACTCTTGGATGTAGAGATGTCCCTTCTTGTCCATGGATCACGGCTCTTTGGTACTGTCTTCCTCGTCTACTCATGCAGAGCAGATGAGTTCTCACTGTAGCTCCTCCAGTGACAGGCATGAGGCAAGAGGTCTTGATTTGAATACAGGGCTTTAATGCTGGTCAACCCGTGAGAACTGGTTTAAAGAAAGAAAAAATACATTAACAAAATAATGCCATATGCATGTCTCACACATCTGGCGTTATAATCAAGCTCATACAGCTAGACACTTTATGTATATTTTACACCAAAAAATGACGCACGTAAACACAAACACCCTCATAGCAAAATAAATAGTCAACAAACCTCATTGCTGCTTATCACACAGAGATGCTAAACATCCTTTTAAATGTCCTTTATCTTCTTCTGTATACTTTCTTTGTAAGTATGCACTTAAACACGATAACAGTGGAAAAATAATTCGCTTTTGGCGGTAAAGTTTCCTCGGTGCGTCGCTAAAGGCGCTCGGGTGACAACACTCGGGCGGAACCAATAATTAGTTCCGTCTTGCTGTAAACGTACAATTCAGAAGAAATTAAATAATAAAAAGTGCAAATACATGAAATAAACTAAAGTGCTAATACATGAAATAAACTGGCGACAGAGGCAGTTACATACACCACCCCATTCAACTACTCTGACCCTACCTGATCCTACACGGGACTCTTTCCTTCAACACACCCTGTAACTCTTCAGCAGTAAAACCTCGTACGTCCAAGTACTTCTCTGCAGCTGCCACCACAACATCTATTTTCTGTGATTTGATGTTCCATTTCTGCGGTACAGTTGGTAACCATGGCAATGAATGCTATGAAGAAGCCAACCTTACTGAAGCACAAATTGGTATCACTCTGTATTGGCCTAGACCTACTACTCCCCCTTGACCCATCATCCTCTGCTCTCTTCACTGCCTCAGCATAAGACACTTGTTCTACTCTGATTCTGGCCACCTCAACCTGTCTCTCTCGCTCTGGACTCTTCTGATCTCCAGCAACATTGGCACCCCCACAATTGACATGCACAGTTTTTTTTCCACCGATACTTCACATTCCTTTGTCCCTCCTGCACACTTCTCACTTCTCAAATCTCGGGATCTCCTTCCTACACACTGCTGCAACATGACCATGAGCTTGGCATCTGAAACACATTAACGGGTTCGGCACAAAAGGTCTCACGGGATAACTGGAATGTCCTCACATGACTGTCAGGTAAAGACCGCTTCAAAACTCAAAAGGGCAGACAGTGTCTTCTCAGTTTCACCATGCTCGCCACCGGGGTCTGTGTCACACCAAATGATGGGCGTCACAGACACAGGGAAGCTTTCATTTCAGTTGCTCCACCTCAACACTTAACGCCACCCCCAGTAATCACTCCTTTCAAAGATGCCCTGCTCCGGAGAGCAAAGTAAGTCACAGGTCTTTCTCCCGAGCGCGTGACGCAGAGCACCCTTTCCTTCTGGGCAGAAGAAACACAGAAAATCATCATCAACTTCTAGCTGCCCTCATCGATTTTAACCCAAATTATTGTAATGCGTTTTGCGTGTTTTGCACCCCTCCCCCATTGTCGATGATGTCATCATTTCTCAATGATGCCTATTGAATATCATTTTAGAATAAATGCATCCTCCAACGTCTGCCAATGCTCACACACGAAATTATCTCAAGAAACACCAAATTAGAGCTACCTCATTTCAAAACAGGCCGTCGTCACTGATGTCAATCGGGAATGATCATTCTTCACATTTTACCGGTAAAACATCTTCAGGCCAATCCGTTTCGTGGGAATATGGATTTATATCTTCTTGTATTGTGTAGATCTACAGTCTTAACTATTGTTTTCGTGAGCGAATTAGAGCAGATACCCACTGCGCACACACAAGGTTGAATCAACGTTGTTTCCACTTAATTTCAATGAAATGACTTTGAACCAATGTGGAATAGACGTTGAATTGACGTCTGTGCCCAGTGGGTAGTGCCTGCCTGTATTTTTTATTTTAATCAAAGCACAACTCGCTCTCCCCTTGATCAGGCCTACAGTTTGAAATATTGTGCAATCAGAAAGCATTTCACAGAGGAGAGAGAGAGAGAGAGAAACTGCACTGCTTCAAAGACCTCTACTGAACCATCTTTGTGTGCTATTACCGGGGGTGAATGAAACTTGAATGAAAAAGGCTATATAAAGTTATTTAAAATTACAAACTGGGTATTTCGGGTCCTAGATGCTGATTGGCTGAAAGGCGTGGTATATCAGACCATATACCACGGTATATGACAAAAAAAAAAGACTTTTTACTGTTCTAATTATCTTGGTAACCAGTTTATAATATCAATAAGGCTTGTCGATAAGGGTTTGTGGTATATGGCCAATATACCACGGCTAATGGGTTTGCACAGAGGGAAGGAATTAAGAATGAAAACACAAAATGGCACCCTATTTCCTATGTAAGGCACTGCTTTTGACCAGAGACCTATGAGCCCTGGCCACCATATAGGGATTAGGTCGCCATTTCGTACAGACTCCCATATTGTATATTAATTGTTTTACTGGTGTTGACTTGAATCACATGATGCCTTGTATTGTCTTTGTCACGTCCACCTAATAAACAGGTGATTGTTGTTAACATGGTTCTGTCATTTAATGGGGAGCTACCTTCTACATGTATAACTCATCCTATCATTCCTCGGAAGAGAGAGATGGGTGGAGCTGGTGGAATTTCAAGTCTTGGAATAAAGGGGCTGTGGTAACCCTTTTATTTTTAAGGTGTTCTTATTGCTATAATGTTAGTGACGTCATCGACTGTGTTGCGTGGGCGTGTCCCGTCCTCCCAGGCCGTTGGCATGGTGCCGGAGCAGATAGGGTCAAAGTAGTGGAATGGGGGTAGTGGGTTTTTAATTTTTACTCTTATCCAGAGCGACTTACATGAGCAATTAGGGTTAAGTGCCTTGCTTAAGGGCACATCGACAGATTTTTCACCTAGTCGGCTCGTGGATTAGAACCAGCGACCTTTCGGTTACTGGCACAACGCTCTTACCCACTAAGCTACCTGCCGCCCTTAATGAGTGTAGGGTTACTCGGAAGGGTGTTTAAAAAAAATATATTATTATTATTATTATTTAATTGTTCCTTTTCCCCTTTTGAATCACAAAGTTTTATGGATTTATATTAGAGTCCCGTTGGGGTCGGTAATGCAACATTGGATGCCAACCGCCGTTAAACCCCAAAGAAGAAGAAGAAGAAGACGAATACGACGTCATCGATCTGATGCCAGTACAACCGTGGTCAAAATGTAAACATCAGAACACATCGGAAGGAAAATCAGACTATATGGTCAGAGTTATTAAAAGCAGCCAGGTATATTGTAAATGCATATCTAGACAATTTATAGTCGCTTTCTAGATCGGCATAGTCAGAGCCATATAGTTGCAGCTTGGTCCACATGGATAGCTAGGTAAGCACATGCTGATCTTGCTACGCTAACGTTTAGCTGCTTTGTACACCGCTATCGAGATATATCTGTTGTAGTGTTTATTTTATACTGTAAAATAGGGTTTATAATCCCAACTTTCTACACGTTCAAACTGTGAATGTGTATTTCCAGGATCTGTAAATCGATTGAATTGATTTGGGTCCCCTACACAACGTGAATAGAATAGCTAGCTAAGCTAAGTAGCCAGCTAACTAGCTAGACAGCTAACAGATGCGATGGCCACGTTCCAGGCTACTTTGTAGACGGCTGCCAGATCTTACAATACCTGGTGACGTGTTTTAAATATCAGCTAATAATTACATGAAATTACAGATGCGAGTGTTTTGACATGGTACTCTAAAGTCCTGCCATTGACTGCATTGTTGTTGTTGCCACACAAACAGGACAATATGAATCCACTCAGTTCAGAGAAGGAAATGTTGATTGATGAAATCGAACAGAGTTTATTTACTTTAACCGTGGACAATTTACGTTACCTGTGTGAACGTCATAGACAAGATGGCAAAGATGGATCTGAAAATAAAGGGATGAATCATCGCTTATTAAGGCGTAAAATCATGGAGGAAATGTGGGACAATACGGATTCAATGAAATCGGAGGAGCAGGGAATGTCTTGGTTAGTCCAACTGAAAGAGGACATCAGGAGGATACTGGAGGATGCTAGCGGTGCACTAATGAGTCCCAGCCAGTCCGATGATGATGCTGTAGACCTTGACGAAGAATGCGACAAGGAGGACAGTGATTGGTTGCCTAGCAATGGACTGAAGGTGGAACACTTGAGTTCCAGCCAATCCGATGATGACGCTGCACACTGCAACAAAGACTGGGATGTGGAGGAAAAGGATTGGTTGGCTAGCGATGGCCTGGGGGCGGTGTCAGCTCCAGAGAGGTGCACACCAGAGCAGAAAGTGAGAGGCGTGAGTATTTATTTTCCCAGTCAGAAAATGATTCATTGACCTCCTTCTATAAATGCATTGGAGAAGATTCAAGGTTCTTCCTCTTGGAATTTCTCCTCCAATGTATTTAAAAAAGGAGTCAAAGTAATCAAGAATGAGAGCAATCACATTTTGAGACTTCAAACGTCCTTGACAGGTAGGAGAGTGTTTCCCAGTCTGATTCATTCTGTCTCTATTTCTGTAATGTCCAGGACAAGCCTCCTCCACCCCCCTCCAGCCTCCCAGAGTCCCCGGGTCCTGCCTCTCCCGGTAGTGCTTTACTGTGGGGTCTGAAGACAGTGTCTGTGCGGCTGGTCGACTGCAGGAAAACACCGGGGCAGAGTGGCCATATAATACACAAGACAACACAGACAGGAGAGAAACCCCACAGCTCGTCTAATGCTGGAGAACCCAAAACCCTCTCAGGAGACAGGCCTAGCTCCCATATCTGTGATCACTGTGGGAAGAATTTTACCACAGCAAGACGTCTACAACTACACATACAGTACCTGAAGAGATCCAGTGATACCATCACTGCAGAGAAACCACACGTGTGCTCTGAATGCGGAAAGGGATTCTCTCAGGCCTACAGTCTTAAGATACATTGGAGAACTCATACTGGGGAGAAACCGTACGTTTGTCATCAGTGTGGGAAGGGTTTCACTGAATCTGGAACCTTAAAGAGACACATCAGAACTCACACAGGTGAGAAACCATTCCACTGCCCTCGTTGTGGGAAGGACTTTATTGAATCTGGGGGCTTGAAGAAACACATCAAAAGAGCTCACCCAGGAGAGGAGGTCGTTGTGAAGAGCCTGGTCCCTCAGAAGAGCGTCCATACCGGAGAGAAACCTTACGATTTCTCCTCTGACGACTGTGGGATGAGCTTCGCTACCTCACGCGAACAGAGACTACGTCAGAGAAAACACACAAGAGAGAAGCTTCGCAGCACGCCTAATGCTAAGCAACACAAGGAACAGCTCTCAGGAGATGGTTCCCATATCTGTGATCACTGTGGGAAGAATTTTACCACAGCAAGAAGTCTAAAACTACACTTACAGTACCTGAAGAGATACAGAGCTAACTTGACTGGAGAGAAACCACACGTGTGCTCTACATGCGGAAAGGGATTCAGTGAGGCTGGCAGTCTTAAGAGACACCTGAGAACTCATACTGGGGAGAAACCCTACGTCTGCCATCATTGTGGGAAGGACTACAATGATTCTGGAAACTTACAGAAACACATCAGAACCCATACAGGTGAGAAACCTTACCACTGCTCGGATTGTGGGAAGAATTTCCGTGTAAAAATAAGCCTTAAACATCACCAGGAAGTTGTTCACACAGAACACCCTCACCGCTGTGGTCAATGTAAGAAGAGCTTCATAACTGCAGAAAGACTGGAATCACACATAAAAACACGACACCCGCCAAATGATCCTCTGAAGAACCCACATGTGTGCTCTGAATGTGGAAGGGGATTCAGATATGCCGACAATCTTAAAATACACCTGAGAATCCATACTGGGGAGAAACCGTATGTCTGCCCTCGTTGTGGGAAGGATTTTACTCAATCTGGACTCTTAAAGAGACACATGAGAACTCACACTGGAGAGAAACCCTACCACTGCTCGGTGTGCGGGATGAAGTTTCGTCACACAATCTCGCTAAAGCAGCACCACCTGAAGAACCACAAGGGGGAGACACTGGGTCCCATCCGTATGCACCAAGGCCCTCTTCCATGCCTCCACTGCGGGGAGAAGTTCTCTACCAAGGCTCTTCTAAAGGATCACCTGCAGAAGACCCACAACAGCCGTGTCCACTGCCTACAGTGCAACAAGACCTTCTCCACTAAACGTAACTTACTAGTCCACCAGAGGAAACACACTGGAGAGAGGCCTTACCTTTGCCCTCAGTGTGGGAAGAGTTTCTCTCTGACAGGGAGTTTAAAACTTCATCTCCGGATTCATGCCGGTGAAAAGCCTTACCACTGTACTTACTGTGACAAGAGATTCACAAGTAAGAGCCACTGCAATCTACACCTGCGAATCCACACTGGAGAGAAGCCATACCAATGCCCTGACTGCGGGAGGAGGTTTCGTGACGGGAATGTCCTGAAAAACCACCGGCGGACCCACACAGGAGAGAAACCGTTCCAGTGCCGCATGTGCGATAAAGCCTTTGCCCAGTTGAGCAGTCTGAAGAAACATCAGGACACACACAGGCTAACTCAGCCTGTCTCTGTCCCAAGACTCCCTAATCCCTATCTACCACACAATCAGCATGTACCTTATCCCTACCCACCACAGACTCAATGGTAACCAGGTTTACACCTGTCCAATCCCTTATAGATCTGTTTACTACTTCAAGGAAAGAAGATGGGAAGGATGTGTTTGTTGTTTTTAATTGAGACAGGTTAGAAGTAGAGGGGGAGACTGATGAGGAGGGAAGACAGATGAGGAGGGAAGAGAGATGAGGAGGGGAGACTGATGAGGAGGGAAGACAGATGAGGAGGGGAGACAGATGAGGAGGGGAGACAGATGAGGAGGGGAGACAGATGAGGAGGGGAGACAGATGAGGAGGGAAGACAGATGAGGAGGGAAGACAGATGAGGAGGGGAGACAGATGAGGAGGGGAGACAGATGAGGAGGGAAGACAGATGAGGAGGGAAGACCGATGAGGAGGGGAGACTGATGAGGAGGGGAGACTGATGAGGAGGGAGACCGATGAGGAGGGGAGACCGATGAGGAGGGAAGACTGATGAGGAGGGGAGACTGATGAGGAGGGAAGACCGATGAGGAGGGAAGACCGATAGGAGGGAAGACCGATGAGGAGGGGAGACAGATGAGGAGGGAAGACAGTGTAGAGTAGATGCAGGGATTGAACCCTGGTCTCCAGTGGGGAGGCTGAGGCATACATAGAGCATCCAGCTGTGTTACCACAAGACCACAGGCTATGCACTAGGGCTGGGACATTAAACAGGAAGTTATCTACAGCGAACATACCAATCACTTATTCCAGGGATTTTGCTATATCATTCATTATGATAAATAGCCTTTACTAGAAAATTTGAAATGAAATACGTTTGCTAACGTGGGTGATTGTTAATGGGACAATTGATGGCTACAACCATCAAACTAGTAGTAGTAGTTTAAAGGATAATAAACTGTGGTGCACATGTTATAAACGTATTGTTCTATGTTTCGTTATCACATCAATTCAGGGTCATTTATCTGGATATGGAGTTTTGTGACCATATCGCCCAGCTCTACTCTAAAGTAGTGGAACAGAACCCTGGAACAGAACCCTGGAACAGAACCCTAGATTCCCCCCATCCAAACCCACTATCTACCACGCCCCCTTGGCCCTCACCTTTCCATGTTCACAGATCTAGGGAGGGATTTGGGACCAGGTGACTGACGGTGAAAAAGACAAACAGATGGAAATAGAACTCTACAACTAAAAAAAAAAATAAAAAAAAGGAAATGCAATTGAGATTCTCCCAGAGTGCAAAGTGCACATTTCGGGAGAAGGGTGGCGGATCGGGACACAGCCTATGAAGTAGAACTCGATACAACTGACTTCCTCTCACTGGACCATTGGACAAAGTATTGGATCAGGTGTGTCCTGATTTCTGGTTTTGAAAGGCTTGTCAGCAAACATTCTAAATGACTCATGTGGGTAGAATTCCATGGTGTTGTTTCCTGTATATATAACCTGGAAAGGTATTGCACTTTGTCTGTCTCAAACATCAATTATTATACTCTGCTCACATTCTAGCCTAGGAGTTTTTGTAATAACAGTTGATAATTAAATCAAATCAAATTGTATATGTCACAAACCCAGTTTACAGCAGGTATAAAATATTCAGTGAGGTGAATGCTCCATCTCCCTCAACACTGCAGTCAGTACATATTAACAATAAGAGTCAACAATAACATAAACGCAGCAAAAAAATAAACATCCTCTCACTGTCAACTGTGTTTATTTTCAGCAAACTTAACATGTGTAAATATTTGTATGAACAAAAGATTCAACAACTGAGACATAAACTGAACAAGTTCCACAGACATGTGACTAACAGAAATTGAAAAATGTGTCCCTGAACAAAGGGGGGAGGGGGGGGGTCAAAATCAAAAGTAACAGTCAGTATCTGGTGTGGCCACCAGCTGCATTAAGTACTGCAGTGCATCTCCTCCTCATGGACTGCACCAGATTAGCCAGTTCTTGCTGTGAGATGTTACACCACTCTTCCACCAAGGCACCAGCAAGTTCCTGGACATTTCTGGGGGGAATGGCCCTAGCCTTCACCCTCCATTCCAACAGGTCCCAGACGTGCTCAATGGGATTGAGATCCGGGCTCTTCGCTGGCCATGGCAGAACACTGACATTCAAGTCTTGCAGGAAATCACGCACAGAACGAGCAGTATGGCTGGTGGCATTGTCATGCTGGAAGGTCATGTCAGGATGAGCCTGCAGGAAGGGTACCACATGAGGGAGGAGGATGTCTTCCCTGTAACGCACAGCGTTGAGATTGCCTGCAATGACAACAAACTCAGTCCGATGATGCTGTGACACACCGCCCCAGACCATGACGGAATCTCCACCTCCAAATCGATCCCGCTCCAGAGTACAGGCCTCGGTGTAACGCTCATTCCTTCGACGATAAACGTGAATCTAACCATCACCCCTGGTGAGACAAAACCGCGACTCATCAGTGAAGAGCACTTTTTGCCAGTCCTGTCTGGTCCAGCGACAGTGGGTTTGTGCCCATATGCGACGTTGTTGCCGGTGATGTCTGGTGAGGACCTGCCTTACAACAGGCCTACAAGCCCTCAGTCCAGCCTCTCTCAGCCTATTGCGGACAGTCTGAGCACTGATGGAGGGATTGTGCGTTCCTGGTGTAACTCGGGCAGTTGTTGTTGCCATCCTGTACCTGTCCCGCAGGGGTGATGTTCGGATGTACCGATCCTGTGCAGGTGTTGTTACACGTGGTCTGCAACTGCGAGGATGATCAGCTGTCCATCCTGTCTCAGGCGTCTCACAGTATGGACATTGCAATTTATTGCCCTGGCCACATCTGCAGTCCTCATACCTCCTTGCAGCATGCCTAAGGCACATTTACGCAGATGAGCAGGGACCCTGGGCATCTTTCTTTTGGTGTTTTTCAGAGTCAGTAGAAAGGCCTCTTTAGTGTCCTAAGTATTCATAACTGTGACCTTAATTGCATACCGTCTGTAAGCTGTCAGTGTCTTAAATGACCGTTCCACAGGTGCATGTTCATTAATTGTTTATGGTTCATTGAACAAGCATGGGGAAACAGTGTTTAAACCCTTCACAATGAAGATCTGTGAAGTTATTTGGATTTTTTACGAATTATCTTTGAAAGACAGTGTCCTGAAAAGGGGGGAGTTTAGTAGAAGACTAAGTAGTAATAATGGACTGGATTTATAAAGTGGATCTAAAGATATGTTGTCCATTTTAAAGGGTGGTTTGCATTTATAGTCGAACCTCAACTGGAGTCAATAAAATGGTGAATAATGTTGTTGAAGTCATTCATTATGAACAAAAGACAATATATCAGTATACAAAGTAGCCTACTGACACTGTTTCTTAAATCACATGTTTTATAGATAAGAGTAATAAACCGATAAGATGTTCATCCCCAATGCTAATTTATTTCATCATGACATGCTTATGATCAGTGAGTAATATTTCACTAGTGGTCTGTAAGTCACTGTGGATTTCTTGGCACCATAAGTAACATCAATTAAGTGAAATAATATACAGACAATTAAAATGGTGTCAAGTAAAGAATGTGTTGTTTGACTAATTAGTTATGACCAACAGAAGCTTTGTGCAGAAGGGCCCTAGTTTTGTTCTTACAAAATATATCAGGAACAAAACACGTAACAGACAGACAAACAAGTGGAGAAAAGAACATGTCTGAAGAAGATG